AGTTCAATCCTCCAGCACCACATGCCAGCCAGCCCCGCCCCCTGGTGGGCTGAGCTGGCCACACACACACACACACACACACACACACATAAATAAATAAATAAATAAAATTTTTTTTTAAAAAACACGTTTATTCAAAAAAACAATTGCTTCACATTTTTATGCATCTGAACAGATGGGTGATTAATTCCCCTGGAGCTCCTGCAGACCTGACAGCCCCTAGCATATCAGTGATCTCTCACTAGGAGTCTGATGAGCTCATGCTCTTCCCATTTATGCAGGATATGATAGCTGCAGTGAACTTGCTAGAGAGGGGAGGACACCTCAGGGCTTGCCAAAACCTCCTGCCAGTGTATGTTCATCTGGGCCAGTGTGTACAGCTGGCCCTCTCATGGCAGAGGTGCCCACGTGGCTCCACACCCCCCCCTTTTTTTTTTTCAAAATTGAAAGAGTCTTGCTATGTAGTTTAGGCTGGGCTTGAACTCACTATGCTGAAGTTATGGGCCTATCCTCTCCCTAGATCAGAAGCTTTCAGAGGCCACGCAGTACCCTGTGTGCACACAGGGGAGTCTAGAGGAAATTTTCGACCCCTGCAGGGTTGAGGGCTCACTAAGACTAGCTGTGAGGAACTTCCTCTTGTTCCTGTCATGTGCTGATGAAAGCCTCCCATGCAGGGCAGCGGGCCAGGCTGTGGCTGCCCAGCCGCACTGTGCACTCTGTGGCTGCTGTCACTGAGGGTGGAGTAGTTGCAACCTATAAGAAAGTCTGTTGGCTGTGAAAAGACACCCACAGCCTGAGTCATTGGCTGTGTCCTTCCTCCTGAAAGGCCTGTTACTGGCCTGTTACTTTGCATTTGGCCCTCCAGCAGCTCTCTGTGGGCACTGATGGCCTCCACATGTGTTCCAGCCACCCAAGTCCTTGGTGCCTTTCATGTAGGGCTTCCTCTTGTCTGGCACAGTGTTCACTGTCTACAGGGCACTCCCTTTCCTCCTATAGAATCTGTGGCGCCTCCATAGTCCTGTGGGAGTATTTTGGGATTCTCCAGACCATTAACAATTCTTGTTTAACTTTTTTTTTTTGCAGAACCAGGGATTGAACTCAGCCCCTTGCGCTTGCCAGGGAAGTGCTTATGCCACTGAGCCATCTCCCCGGCCCCTAACTTTTCTTGTTCTGTTTTTTTTTTTTTTTTTTTTTTTTTTTTTTTTTTTTCTCAGAACCAGGGATTGAACTCAGGTCCTTGCACTTGCCAGGGAAGTGCTTATGCCACTGAGCCATCTCCCCAGCCCTCTTGTTCTGTTAACAGGAAACTATAGTAATGGTTTTAACTGTGTGCCTCATTTTTGTTGTTGATCTATTATAAAACTTACACCATTTGCTAATCATTTACTTTTCTGAAAAACACAAATATAAGAACACAGCAAACCCTCCTAAAATTATTCTTTTTTAAAAAATTTTATTTATTTCTGTGTGTGTGTGTCTGTGGCCAGCTCAGCCCACCAGGGGCGGGGCTGGCTGGCATGTGGTGCTGGGGGATTGAACCGCGGTCCCTGTGCTTTGCCAAGCCTGTTCCAAGTAGGTGCTCCAGACCACTGAGCCATCTCACCAGCCCCTAAAATTATTCTTGCAGGACAGAAAGATGCCCTGGATAGAACCTGCAAGTGGTTCCCTTCATACCTAGTCTAAGCTTCTTTATTAGACTAGGGCTCCACCTTCTGTCAACTCTAACAAGTTTGTGGTAGAAAAAAACCCACTGGAAGAATCATGTTCAGGAAGCTTGACAGCTGTAAGACTGTCTCATGCTAATGGCTTGCACATTCCATACCTTATCAAATAAGGGCTGTCATGCACACCGTACTGTCCTTATTCTCTGAAGAACCTTTGGGGCTGGTTGTGTTGTTTTATTATAGTTTCTATTTATTCCTGAGTGCAGACTCTAAAACCTATGTACAATCTCCATGTCTAAGTGTTATGGTTTGTGTGTAGATGTCCCCCTAAAGCCTGGTGATGTTTCTAAAGTCTTTTCAGAGTGGTTGAAAGGGTAAGTGACTGCTGGTGCAGTCCAGTGATTGAGTCAGCACTACCCTAATCCTGGTGGACTGGATATAGTACAGAGGACAGAAAGAGGCTGGTTTCCGCCTTCCCTGTCTTGCTTTTGCTATCTCTTCTACCGACATGAACAGTTACGCCTCTGCCACCCCACCCTGCCTGGAAGCCAGCCAATTATGGATTGAAACCTCTCTATAAACCGTGAACTAAATAAACCTTTCCTCCTTTAACTTTGAGTGTTGGGCATTTTGTCTTAGCAACAAGAAAAGTAACTAAGACACCAAGTATTGAAGTTTGTTTCAGACCTATCCCAGGTAGTCATGCTCGTGTCTATGGGGTGTCACACCACCGGGCAGGCTGGCCAAGTGGCAGCACAACTTTCCTACTGCTAGTCCTGCTTCCTGTTCAGTCTAGGCACTGCCTCCATATGTCTACCTACAAGTCAAGGTAGAAATCTTGAAATCAGTGGCAATCCTGGCCAGCTGTAGTGTAATAGCAACCCAACTCTTCACCATTAATTAAATGGAGCTTTCAAAAGCTGTCTGGCTTGTTCTAGAAAGTGTCCTACAGGGTGTGGTACCTGTACAGCTGTAGTCCCAACACTCAGAAGGCAGAAGCAGGTGGTTTGCCATGAATTTGCAGCCAGCTTGGCTGTATAAATGAGCTAAAGGTCAGCCTGTACTACACATTGAGACCTTGTCTCAAAACAAAACAAAAAATAAAGTGCCCTGCGGTGGAGCCCTGGAAGTAATGTAGACAGCTGCTTTTTTTCTGGCTGCCAAGAATTCATGGATTATTATTGTGTGTGTCTTAAGGATGTGGTTTAGTTTTGGATCACCTGGGAAAAAATCCTGTCCCCTTCCACCTCCTAACATTCCTGAATGAACTGCACTATAGCCCAGACTATTTCCTAATTGGTCTTTGTTCCCTTGGGATTCCACTCTTGTTCATCCAGAGGCAGCTGCACAAATGTGTCCACTTTCTGCCCCAAGAATTGGTGCACTGGCTTGGTACCCATGGCGCCAGAGCACTCCCAGCTGTGGAGTTGTCCCAGGGACATGATGCTGAGAGCGGTGTGCTGTGAGTCACCTGGAGGATCCAGGCCCCTGCCATCCCCGGTGACCTCACTAAAAGTCACCCTAAAGCTCAGGCCTTTTCACCTCTGTGTTTACCAAATCCTGAAGCAGAAAGTAGGTAATTTTGTGGTAACACAGGCTCTGGACAAGCAAGAATGGAGTCCTACACAGACAAGAACCAGTTGTAAAATGGTTGGGGTGTTGGAAGCAGAGGGAAACCGGGTTCTCAGGTGTGGGATGGCCTGAGGCAGTGTTTTTCCTGTATGAAGAAGACAAGCTCCTAGAGAACCAGAAGTGGCACATTCTTTGAATAAGAATCCATCCCTGCCAGATGCCCTTCCAGGTCTGTGGCTGGCACTCCTGGGAAAGTGCACTGGCGGAAAAGCCTCCAAAAACTGGCTGTGGGTCAGCTGGCATGAGGCAAGCTAGGGAGTCCCAGGGTGACTCCTACATGTCAGAAGTCATGCTGGGTGTGGGGACAAGGCCCGTCCAGGACAGGTGAGTCTCTAGTGTGCCCTGGCAAGGAGTGGGCTCTGCAGTGTAGTTGTGGCCACTCCCAGTCCCTGCCCCTATGGCAAATCCTCAGCAGAGCAAAGAGGGGAGTAAGAGGTCCTTAGACACCTGTTAGCAATATGACAAAGTAGTTTTATGTTGTTGAATCTAATAATTAAAAAATTAAACTTGGGCTGTGGAGATGGCTCAGTAGAATAAGCGCTTCCCTGGCGAGCACAAGGGCCTGAGTTTAATCCCCAGTTCTGCAAAAAATAAAATAAAATAAAAAGTTAAAATAAAAATCAAACTTTATTGTGTATGATGCTGTATGCCTGTGCCCAGTGTCCAGAGAAGCTGGGCCAGGAGGATACTGGGTTTGTGGCTGGTCTGACCAACTTAATAAGACCTTGTCTCAAAAAGAAAAAAGGATTTCCACATTAGTTTCTCTTTAGGTTCAGCTTTTTTTGCATGTTATTGCCTTACTGAAACATCAGTCCATGGTGGATTGGAAGTAAAAGATCAGGGGAATTTCTGTGGGGTGGATCTTCCAGGAGCCTGAGTTCTAGCTCTGAAGCTGAGTGCCCAGGGGAAGAGGTGCTGATATTTGGAGCCCTGTGTGGTTCTAGCCCTCGCTCAGCTTCTTAGCTGCCTCAGTTGAAGTGTGTGCACACCAGGAAACTTTTTTAAAAAATTTATATCTTATTAGTACATGTTTGTCATACATGGTGACCACCTTTGTCAGGGAATTTGTACCATGATGATATGTGCTTTGTGCTACTGGGGATCAAACTCGCCAGACAGGCGCTTATACCACTGAGCTATCTCCCCAGCCCCATGATGATTTGTCTGGATTCTTTTTTTACCCCATTTCCCTCCACTCACTTCAGCCTGTCTTCCAAGTATTTATAAAAGCTTTGCTTCCATTTTTTCCCTTCTATTCTCTTTCCCTTCCCTCCCCTGCCTCTCCTCTCCCTTCCCCTTCTCATATCCTTCCCCCTTCCCTTCCCTCCTGTCACCTTACCTCACCTTCCCATTTGAATATGTTCTCCTACTTCCCAATGCCTACTCTCCACTGTGCTGCAGGAAGCTACTTTGTGGAACCTAGCTCTGGTTAGTGTGCAAGCTGTGTTTCCCATCTGCCTTTCTTCACTCCTTTCTGTAGGGTGAAGTTAGGGTAGAGTGGCCCATGGCAAGGGGCAAGCAAGCCCTGGTGCTGCCTGGTGGCTCTGCTCTGCCCCTTCCAGAACCATGGTGCGACTATACAGTTGGTCCTGGACCCAGAGCTCTGTCCTGTATCTGGTAACCATGACTGGGGGTCTGAGGTGGACATTGGAGAAGAAAGGCCATAGTAACTGATGGTGCACACACTGCTTCCCCCTGCTACAGCTGCTGCCATGCTGAGCTCTGAGCAGGCCCTGAGTGAGCTGCTGATGCGCAAGGAGGAGGAGTGGCGCATGCTGCAGGCCCAGTGCAGCCAGCTGCAGGAGGCAGCGCTGCAGGATGCTCAGCGACAGCTGGAGGAGGCACAGGGGAAGTTGCGATGCCTTCAGGAGGACTTCATCTACAACCTGCAAGTGCTGGAGGAGCGGGACCATGAGCTGGAGCGCTATGATGCTGCATTTGCTCAGGCCAGGGCGCAGGAGGAGGCCAGGCAGGCAGAGGTGAGTGAGCTCAAGATAGAGATGGCCAAGCTGAAGCAAGAGCTCACCAGAGAGGCCAGGCGTGTGGAGGAGCTGCAGGAGCAGCTGCGGCTCAGGTCACAGGAGCATCGCCTGGAGCTGGACCGCATCCACAGGTGAGACCCTCCATAGTGAATGCCGTGGGCGCCAAGGGCCCCATTGCCTCCAGCTCCTGCCCAGCAGCTCAGTACCAGCCGCACGCACTGTACCCTCACTGTGAGCCCCAGACTCCAGGCTGCAGAATATGTGCCCTCAGCGTGGCAAGGATGCCTGTTCCCATATGATGGAAGCTATTCAAGATGCATTTAAATATGTTAGCTATGTAAAATTTGTTTCACTAATTATAGATATATTTTATCTTAATGAAACATGTTTGTTTATTTTAGTGGAGAATATATGTTAGTTTTAAAGCTAAGTTAGGTGATTTTAGGCAAGCTGACATAAGAACCTACAGCAGCCGTCTGCAGGTTGTGTTGGCAGGGCCTCCAGCATGTGGTCCCTGTCACTCACAAGTGTCAGCCGAGTCTAGGTAAGGCAGTATAGAAGAAAGATAAGACAGGCTTGGCTTAAAATCCTCCTACTTCCTCCCCTTCCCTGGTACCTCAGAAGTAGTGAGATTTGCTCCATCATACCCAGAATGGAACAGGTCTTATAGTATCTGTCATTTTTTAAAAATATTATTTATTTATTTATTTATTTATTTATTTATTTATTTATTTATTTATTTATTTATTTTGGTGGAACTGGGGATTGAACTCAGGCCCTTGCGCTTTCCAGGGAAGCGCTTATTCCACTGAGCCATCTCCCTGGCCCCCTAGTATCTGTCATTGTGTGTGGGTTCTGAAGAATTTTCCATGTTGTTACAAACTCCTAATTTGCATAACATGTTGTCAATATCCTGAGACAGGTTCTCACTATGTAGCCTAGGCTGGGCTTAAATTTGTGATCCTCCTGCCTTAGCCACCTGAGTGCTAGGATTACAGGCATGTGTCGCTGCGACTGGTTTATAATAGCAATTTAAGGTATTTAAACTTGATGACACATTCCTGTAATCCCAACATTTTGGGAGGCTGAGACAGGAGGATCACAAGTTTGAGAGCAGCCTGCCCAGTTTAGTGACTTAGACCTTATCTCAAAAATAAGAAAAAAGGGCTGGGGCTGTAGCTCTGTATAAAGGTTCTGGCTTTAACTCCCAATATCAGTGTCACCAACACGCATACACACACACGCACGCACACACACACGCACACACACACACACACACACCACTTTTTACTATCACAGACAGAATTTTCTTCCAGAAGATGACAAAGTGAATAATCAAAGATCCAAGAAAATTCCTGAGTTGTCCAGAGTTTACTTGTGGCCACACTGTGGTGGGATGTTGAGTTCCGCCCTACCTGGCTCTCTGCTGTATCCTGCTCAAAGGAAAGGAGCCTGAGATTCCCGCTCAAGAGGGACTGTTTGTGGTGGGCAGGTGCAAGGAGAAGGCACTGCATGGGTGGGTGTGGCACCATTATGTCCTATCCCACGGGTAGCTTCTGAGGTCCCTGTAGTAACTGTACCTGTCAGGCTGGTTGTGGTGCCACATGACTATAATCCTTACACTTGGGAGGCTGAGGCAGGAGGATCCCATGAGTTCCAGGCCAACCTGGGCTATACAGTGAAACCTTGTCCCCAAACCCAAAAATCCAGCTGAGCCAGTCACAGAGTCACTGGTCTCAAGGAACCCCAGATATCCATGGTCCCCCAGCAGTGTGTTGCAGGACAGATGTTAAGTGCCAGCTCCCTTAGTCACTGCAGCACAGTGCCACTATCTCCGGAGACCTGGGAGGGGTTGGGCAGTGGACCTGGAGCCACGTGTGGCTGTGGCCACTTGGGCTGGTTCCCACTGGCCCTGGGAGGGTCACAGGTGCGTGTGCACTGGGTATGGACCTTTCCCATGCATGTTTTGAATTTGAGGTAGTTTATATTTTTTAAAAAGTGTTTTACATCATTTTGTGACATGTCTCCTCAAATCCTTTGCCTAGTGTCTTTCTCCAAATCTGGGTCCTTAAATCCTCTTTTAAGTCCCACACTTTTCCCTTCCATTCTGGTTCCTTCCATTCAGGTAGATCTTTTGTCATTACCCTACAACTGCCTGGGACTCTATTCATTTTTTAAAAAATTTGTTTTCTCTCTGTTGTTTAGATCAGGCTATTTCTGTTATCTGTTTCACTAATCCTATCTTCTTGTCATAGTTGTTTTCTGCCATTGTACCCATGAAATGAGGTTTTTTTTTTTTTTTTTGTCTTTTTGAGATGGTCTCACTGTGTAGTTCAGGCTAGTCTTTTTTTTTTTTTTTATTTCAATATACATTTATTGGCCTGTAAAAGTAAATGCATGCTCTTTCTTTCTTTCTTTCTTTCTTTCTTTCTTTCTTTCTTTCTTTCTTTCTTTGGTACAGGGTCTCACTACGCAGCTTGGACTCTTAGGGATTCTCCTGTCTCAGCCTCCACAGCACTGGGATTACAGGCATGCGCCACCATGCTTTGTTTCAGTGGCTGGAAAAGAGTGGGGCCAGCACAGCATGTGGTATTGGGGATAGAACCTGGATCCTTGTGCTTGCCAGGCAGGTGCTTAGACCACTGAGTTATCTCCCTGTCCACATATAGACCTTTTTTTTTTGAAAACAAGTACAGTTCATAATTTTGATCTGAGTGTAGAAATCCACATTTAGTTAGTAGAGAATACGCATTTTTCTCTATGTTATCTCAAATATTGATAAAAACTTATTATAGACTGGTCAATAAAACACATTTGAACACATTTTAAATAACTGATACCATATAAACATTATTATTTTCCTATGATACAGTTGATGGGCAGTCAAAAGCAGTTATTTAAAAATTCCTCAGGCTAGTCTTGAGTTCACTTTGTAGCCCATGCTGGTCTCGAACTCGCAACAATTGTCCCGCTTCAGCCTCCTGAGTGCTGGGATCATGGGCCAGTGCCACCACTCCTGGCTTGAGTCTTTCATTTTGGTTATTGTACTTTCCAGTTTTCAGATTTACATCTGATCTGGGTACAGTGGCGCACATTTGTAGTTCCAGCTACTCAGGAGCCTGGAGCATGAGAATCACAGGTTCAAGGCCAGACTGGGCAACATAGCAAAGCTGTGTCTCAGAATAAAAATTTGAAAAGGAAGGTGAAATGGTATGGTTCAGTGGTAGAGTACTCTTAGATTATTTGATCCCTAGTAGAGAGAGAGAGAGAGAGAGAGAGAGAGAGAGAGAGAGAGAGAGAGAGAACAAACCCTCAATAGTGCAACTCAGTATTAGAGTGCTGGTTGAGCATGCTTGAGGCTATGGATTCAATCCCCAGAACTAAAAAAAAGAAATTGTTTTATTCTTTGCTCTATGTTTTATTTGCTGAGATCTGTTTTTTCCATGTTTTTTTTTCTAAATTGCTTATTCACATCAGTGTTGTCTAGGTGTTAGCCTGTGTTAGTGTGGTTGTCCTGGTTCTTGGTAGCCAGGCCCATTGGGAGTTGATTTGTGTACAGCATGGTCCGGTGCAGTAGGCAGGTCCAGGTAGGTGGAAGTTCCACTCCCTCTGGACCCCACTGCCACCACCCCTGCAAAAGCAAAGCACCACCTCCTCATGCAGGGACCCTGGTGAGTGTTCTCTGTGGCTTTATTAGTGCTTTGTCTGATTATCACAGTGACAAGAATGACGAGATTGACCACCAGCGGGAACAATATGAGAATCTGAAGTGGAGGCTGGAGAGAAAGCTCGAGGAACTCGATGGTGAGCTCGCCCTGCAGAGACAGGTAGAGCATCTGGACCTGGTCCCTGTTTCCCCACTCTGGCATCTAGATTGCATGGGGTTGTGGAGTGGTTGGCATTCTACCCCTGGGAAGGTCTCCTTGGACCACTGTCCTACAGAACGGCCACAGTGCTACTGCTATCCATGCTTGGGTGGTAAGTCCATGTCACACAGGACTCTTGCAAACCAGGAGAGTCTCCCCTTCCTCTGCTGGGCACTCCCAAAGGGCACACACAAGTGCAGGCTGGAAGAGAGGGCAGTGAGGCAGCAGTGGAGCCAGAGGCATTGGGGCCCTCTTCCCAGCTCTCGCTTGTGGTCACAGGGCTGCCTGGGCTGACTATGTAGCTTACATTTCTGTTCAGTGATACGGTCTTTCTAGACATGCCAAACTTTACAGCTTAGTGCGGCAGACAACACAGTTCATGATAGATGTTAGTTTTTCTTCAGCACAGCAGAGAAGCAGAAGTAAAAGGAAAAATAGGGGAGCTTTACTGACTGAGGACACTGAGAGGATCTGAGGGAGCTGAGGAGATCCTCTGACCTAAGATAGAGGGGCTTTGGGGTTCTGTGGATTTTTGCTATGGGCAGAGTTTGAGGGGCAGGTTCAGTGACAGATAAGGAGCTAATTGGGGTCTCCCTTGTGTCGTGGGAAAGGTAAAAGGACATGGTATCCAGGACTGGAGTGGTAAAGAAGAAGAAAGTGGCTATTGGGAAGATAAACTGTTGATGTTAGGATTCAGCCATGTTGAATCAGGGCCATAATAATTTAGAAGTTCGTACTCAGGCTGGAACCTATCGAGGTACCAGCTCAAGTCACGTGGTACTTTGGCTCATGGTCAAGTGTTCAGTTTACACCAAGGCCTAGTAGTAGGCCAAGAGCCGTCTTTCAAAAGGAGAGTAGGTGTCTGTGGATGATGTCAGAGCCAAGACTTTTCTTAGGATTCAAGGTAGACTTTTGTTTAATTGTCCTGGAAGTTTTCTGCTTGTTATAGTTTGGGTCTAAAATGCTCCCCAAAGGCTAGCTGATAGCCTGCGGGCCTGCGTTGTCCTTCCCCTGTAGAACCTGCCTGCCCTAACACCCCTGATCCCTTCATGTCTTCTTGGCCAAGTGGCCTAGAGGCAGAGTATCCTGAATTTGTTGCAGAGCTGGCCCCACTTCTAGGCCCACTGAAAACTTGCAGCTTTTCAGGTTACCCAAGTAAATGGTTGGAGTAAGGAATATGTTGCCTCCAAATTCTGAAGAGGCCTGCTAGGAATTGTGCATCTTCTTAGATGGGGCCAGATGCAAATTAGCCTTTACTTCCAAATGCATATATCAATATGTCCTACAATAGACCCCTGGAATTTCATAGAGGTAGAGGTGCCTGAATTTTATCACATGTATTTCTCACCTACAGATATGCAAATGTCTTACCTGTAAGACTAAAGCAGTGGCTACCTCTTGCTCACTCAGTCTAGTCAGTCTAACAGACAGTGTGATAGCTTTGTGCAGAAGGTCACAGTGATCATGACCCTTGTGAACTAAACTGTGACTTGGGGCTGGAGAGTTTACCCCCATGGTCAGGCAGGGAAGTGTGTTGTTGGCCTTGCCCACTGAAAGCAACCTACTTCCTGTCAACCTGTGAACAGGGATGGAGAAAAAAAGATTTGCCTGACAGCAGCTGTGTTCTGGGATGAAAGGATGCATTCCTTTACCTAAGCTGTGAGAATACATCTGGCACAGCAGCTGCAGTTGGAGTTGCCCCGCGGTTAAGCTTGCATTTGCCTACCTTCATTTTCCAAGATCTACTGATCTTCTGCACAGGCCAATAGGAGAGTTCAGTGGAGGTGTGGCAGGAGCCACCAGGCCTCATCTTTCAGGTCTTTGATAGTGGCCAAATGTTTGCAGTCCCTCCAGGGAAACCATGTTACTTTTGATTTGTTTTTTTCCCAAGTAGAGATTGTCCGTTGGCCTCTACATGGCCTTTCTGTAAGAATGAATGTGAGGATTCTACTCACTGCTAAGTGTGTCTGTTCCAGTTACATATTTAGGGACCCACTATAAAACACACCTGAGCTAAACCCTCTGCATTATCTAATGTCCCTAAGCTTCTTCACTGACTGGAGGCCACCTTGGTGACCCCCAACTCTTTCTCCCTGGCCCCTGATCCCTGACTCTTAGAATCATCATCATTTCAGAGCCAATATCTAGACGTCCCCAAAAGGTCTGATGATTTTATTTTCTTGGTGCTTGGTAAAAGGTCCTAAGTTCCTTGGAAGAAGGGTGGGAGAACAGATTGCACTGTAGCTTTGGTAGTGTACCAGGTTCCTTCCTCAAGGGACCAGGCCTCTTCTTCTTTCTAGGGGTTATGGGTCTGGAGACTGACTCACGTCTGAGAATGACTGAGGAGCCAAGACTTTTCTTAGGATTCAAGGTAGTCTTGTTTACTTGTCCTGGAAGTTTTCTGCTTGTTATAGTTTGGGTCTAAAATGCTCCCTAAAGGCTAGCTGATAGGCTTTGGCTAAGTGTTTGGACCATGAAAGTGTTAACTGCAGTGAATTAATCAGTTTCTAGTGGGTTAATGGCTGAATGGACCTTTAAGCAGTGGGGCCCAGTTGAACCGTGGGTCTTAGGCCATGGCCTTAGGGACTGGATCTTGGCCCTGGCCTCCTCTTCTGTGACTGTCTCCTTTTCTCTACTTCCTGGCTGACCCAAAGGGATCAGTTTTCCTCTGCCACACCCTCTGCCAGGTTGTTTCTGTTTCACCACAGTCCTAAAAGGAATAGTCAGCTGACTGTAGACTGAAATCTCTGAAACTGTAGACCAAAGTAAATTTTCCCTCCTTTAAGTTGCTTTTCCCAGATATTGGGTTCCTCACAGCAAAGAAAATCTAATACCTGTTCAGTAAGGCTTTGGGTTTTCTGTTTCACTTCTGATTACTGGTTTGCCTCTGCTCTTTGAGCACCTTGCCTTTGGCAGATGAGTGCTGCCAATTGTTCCTGCAGCCCCAGGGCCCAGTGAGTCTCAGTGCACTTAGGTTTTCCAGTCCATTGGCTGTGGTTTCCATGGTAAGGTCTGATCTAGAGAGAACAGTCAGGGAGCTTTGCAGGGTTGCTGGGGCTCCCTCACAAGTCTGTTTCTCAAGGTAGTTGTGAAAGTAGTATCTTCTGGATCTCTCAATGTGGCCAAGTCTCCAGTCACCATCTCTCTAAGCCATCGGATCCCTTCTTCTGCAGTTAAACCAAAGGAGTTTGGGTATTTCTAATCCACTCACTGGGACCCTCTTTGACATGCATCAGGCGGCCAGCAGGTGGAGCGTTCCTAACTTCCCCAGCTGTTGCATTAATGCAGTCTGTGCTGAGGCCCCACCAATAAACACTTCATTTAGCTCAGTAGACCCACTTTATGTTCCTTTCCCCATCTTCCCACACCCCTAACTAACACTTTTCCCCACATGTATTCCCCAGATTTCTGCTTGTTTCAGGAAACTCCAGTAGTTCTTTTAGAGAGTAGTGCACCTCCTCATGGGTCACCTTTGCATTGCACTCTTAGGGACCTGACGAGACTCAAATCTAATAATTGGTTTGCAAGCAAAGGAGGTGTTGGGGAGGTCCCAGAGAGACTAAGCTTCATCCTGGCAGATAACTGCCTTTGGGAGGCAATGCCTTGCCCCTTCAGGGATGGGGAGTCCCAGACCAGTGGGAGCAGAGGGGTCAGTGCCACAGTATGGAGACCACTGGTAAAAACAACTGTTAAGAATATTGGGCAGGCGAACCTGTGACACTTGTGGTATTTGTTTTACTTTAAGACAAAAGTTGTAATCAGGAGTTTACAAGAGAAACAACACAAGACACATAATTCATAAGATTATTTTATGGGCTGGCCAAATAGTTCAGTGGATTAAAGCACCTGCAAGCAGGCGCAAGGGCCGGGGGTTCAATCCCTGGACCTGCCATGCCAACCCTGCCCCCAGGGAGCACTGAGACAGCAGTTGAGCCTGGGCATGGTGGTGTGCGCCTGTAATCCCAGCTCTTGGGAGACTGTAAACAGGCGGATCATTACAAGTCCGATTTAGTAGTGAGATCCTGAGTACCCTGTAGAACTTTCCCTAAAATTACAAAAAAAAAAAAAATAAAATTAAAAAGCATCCTTAGGTGCCATTACTCCATTCCCCCAACATAAAATTGCTAACTTTCTGTCACTTGAGTAAAAAAAAAAAAAAAAAAAAAAAAGGTTATCTTATAATAGTCACCCAAAGAGTCAGGTATAAAGAGAGTGGAGGAAATCTGTCCACACACCTGAAACCAAAAGAAACCAGTTGAGGGCCTGGATCCCATGGCAGTCAGTGTCCTGCATGCATCCAGCTAAAGATTGGAGCCTGTGGCAGTGCCCTCCATGAGTCCAACAACCAGATGCCTTGAGCCCACAGCAACGCTTCAAGCACATCTGTCTTATGGGTCTGCACTGGGAAGGCCAAATGTCAGTGTTGGAAACTAGAAAGTCTGTGCTAGCAGGATAAGGGATCTGTGTCAGCAGGCTGAGGGATCTGTGCTGGAGGCAGGAAACAATGCTCAGCATGAGAACCAGAGCTCTCCTGAAAGTTACCACAGCCATCCTCAGTGATAGTGAGGTCCCAAGCTCCTGTAATGACGAGAACAGCTGAGTCTGTATCAGGAAAGCCAGTGTGACAAGCTTCTCCAGGACACTGAACAGTGCACAGGAAGAGATGTTCAAAGTAAGGACCAGCGGGCCGGAGAGATAGCGTAGTAGCATAAATGCCTGCTTGGCAAACACAATATCCTGAGTTCAATCCCCAGTACCAAAAAAAAGAAAAGAAAACAAAGTAAGAACCAGAGCTCCCCAAAAGTGAACCATAGCCATTCTCAGCAACAAGATCCAGTGCTTCTTTGATAATGAGAATAGCCAGGTTTATCAGGAAAACCAGAATGACAAGCTCCTCCAGGAAAACCAACAGCTCCATACAGGTTCTAAACTTCTTCTCCCAGTTCTGCCTCTTATGCTGC